TACCCTTTCCTCACAAGTGTTTGTAGTGTAGTGCAGTGTAGTGTAATGTAGTGTATGTATTGTAGCAAAAACATCTTGCCTTGGAATGGGAGATGAGTCAATTCTGGAAATGTTTGTTCCTGACTTCCAAGAACAGTTATAATTTTGGTTACTTCTCAAAGAATTAAAAAATTACGCGTGTTATGTCCCTCGAGGGAGAGCAAGGATTGAAAATGTTTGAGGACTGAATGCTGAAGAAACTGTTTGAACGCCGCCAGCCAACTCAACACGTTTCGTCGGGTCTGGATTCAGACGTGGCTTCAAGTCGAGCTTCTGTTTTTCTGAAGTGTTACGGGGGAAGATAAAAGGAAGTTAATATCGGCATGCGAGTTTTCTGGTGTGAGACACAGCGAGGTTTGAAGATGAACACAAAATAGTATCACTTGGTAGATAACAGCAAATCAAATACCGAAGTCGCTCCAAATCTGAAAATTCCCCATATTACTATGGTGCTCATTTTATGTACAGTGTTGTATAGTCATGCCCTATACATCTAGTGCATAAAGGCTCAGCAAGTCGCTTGTATTTGGGAGTTATCTGATATCCGCAGGTTTTATTTTTGAATCTCTGCAGGAGAATGTTGGGTCGGTACACTGGACCTGGTTACGACAGACTATTTATAAACATATCTTCTCACCGTCCATGTTCATCTTTCTATTTTATTCATCATCGTTGTTTCAACTGCACCTAAAGTTCGACTCTAAAAAACCCATTAACGGTATGTACGTTATAGCATTTAGAACGGAGAAAACTATGTATATGTTGCCATTTTCTTTTGTGCAGTATGTAGTGATTACCCTTTCTCTTTTGTGCAAAAATTAGTCTATCTTTCTTTTCCTGAAAATGTCAGTATTTATTTTCCTTTTGCGCAAAATTAGGTGTCTAGCCTCTTTTTTGTGCAAAATTCATTTTCTAGCCAGTGATAAACCAGGAAAACAGATATGAAATTTTAGCAGTACTTCTGCAGGCTGGACTCTGCTTCTTCAGTGGTTTGAAGACCACTGGTCTGTGCATTACAGACGGAACTCAATATGTTATTGAAGAGACAGCATCAAACATGTTTCAAAGTTAAACACGGCAGAACTGCAATACGGAGTTGCATTTATTATAGGCTTACTTTATGCAAATATTTGTGCGACAGGATATTGCAAAACAAGGCCAAAAAAAGTTTACAAGAGGCAGAATCTGTAGTCAAGGTTCCAGTTAATGTGTAAGAGTTTAAAACTTTTTGTGTGTAAGTTTCGATATTAATATTAAGGTAACTTTGATAATATTGCAGAGTATATACTATATCATCGTCATGGTAGAGAAACACAATTTTCACATTCCTCTTCTGCAGTTCGTACTCTTGCCTTCTCGGTTTTCCCTCTCGCTCCATCGTTCCCTCAGGATACTTACGTATACACACTGCCTCTCTCTGTCTCACGTCCCACCATGCGCCTTTGGACCCTCCGGCTCCCAGCATCCCAAGCCTCAGGACCCTCCGGCTATCTATCCCTCCCGTCCCGCCCCTCGTCTCTCTACTGGATCCACTTCCCGGCAAATGCCCTCCAGCGTCCAACTCCCAATTGGTTCCATGTCGGGGATATTGAGTTCACAGTAACCATGGCAACTAGCTCAAGGCAAGGAACACTCAGTTTGTCCTGGCCTCCCACCCTTTCTCAGTGCGTACCCCTTTCCACTAGCTTGCATACACTGTTCGTTGGATCTATCTTTTCCAAAAGGATATTCGATATTCAGTACAGAGAAAAGGGTGTGTTTTTCTTCCCTCTTTTGTTCCCACTTAGCGAGTCCTCACTCCCAAAGCACATACAGTGTATATACATCTATGTCTTCCCTGGCCCCGAGGCAGATTTCGTTCAAGAGACGGTTACTTCAGACAAATGCGAGCAAGTGTATGTAGAGCAATTACGTTGCTGCTCAGAAGTCGAAACTTCTAAAAAAAAATGTGTCAATTAGGTGACTGTAACGTGATATCCTCTACCACGATTTGCAGAAAATACAGGAATGTATCATGTGCTAATTATCATGAATAAAATTGCAGTTCATATCGAAAGATTATTTATGGTGTTTCAGTGTCCATCTCCTGCTATTTGTTTTTCCTAAGCTTAATCTATTTTAAGGGTTTTAAAAATTGTATTCAAACGATTACAGTAAACAATACATAATTAAGTTTTCAATCTCACATTATACTGTCCATTTCTTTCTTCCTTAATTAAGCCCGATCGATAATATAAAATTCAAAATGTGGCCTAGAAGCAGGTGTGTGCTTGACAGATCTGATAAACAGACCACGAGTTTTGGAGAAGTTCAACTACATGATATAACAGACGCACAGTCGCCACATTGTAAACTGTTCCCCATCACCAGCGCCCCTCACAAACAGCCGTTCTGGCCTTGAATATTGGGGTTCAAACCTTTGCATATGTAGGTCCAGTAATATATTATTAAATCTAGGCACTCATCCTCTATTCTACTTTAAGTTTGAGAACAAGATTAGTACTCTATTTCATGATTAATTAATCTGAATTCAACATTAATTAAAAACGCTCAACTGACCTTCCATTGCTGTCTCCTGGTATTCAGCTGACTGCGCTGCTCTGCGTCACCACACAGAACGTCCGTACACTAACACTTGGCACACATTTCACGGTCAGTCTATGTCACATACTAGTATTACACTACCACAGTCAACCGATCGCTTTCCCTGTACAGCCATTACACAGCTAAAGTGAGGTTAACTCACCATTGTCAGCAACAGACACAGAACTTCCATTGTCACAAATTAAGAACATAATAGCAATTGCAAGGTTTATAATTTAATATTCAGACTTGCGTAATTCACGGATATTAACACTAGATTAAAGCAAATTTTTCTATGTGAAAGTCATACTTCAATGATACACGCTGTAATAAGAAAATGGTTGTAAAAGAGAGTAATTTATAATTTCAGTCCTCTAAAACAAAATTTAAGGTTAAACTAAAGTTGAATTCGATCTGTTTCATAACCTATAGATAAAATAATTATAAATTAACCCTTGGAACACCCGAACTCCAGCACGCACAAGCACTTCCTAGCAAAGTAACTATTTTACTGCACATCATCGATCATAAGAGCCGGAAGTTAGCTTTATATCGATAATCTTAAACATCGTCGATCAAAGATAAAAATTAACTTCCCCACGCCAATCTCCGCACTCTACCAACTGATTAATTTAAGATGTTAAAAACTTCATATCTTTTTCTTCAACCATTGTTTCCATTTTATATACGTTGATGGCCAAAAAAACTTTGGTTTTTACTTTGTTGTTAATTGCCAGCACTTCCCTCCATGCTAATCCATCTTCTTTGGGGTCACCCAATGAGTTTCATCAAATTACTCTCTTTATCTGATTAACTTCCCAGGCATGATAAAGCACTGTTAACGTAACAAAATGAGATGGGATTGACATGTAGCACACATGGGCAAACTATATATGTATGCAGAACTTACTTCACGGTGGTTGGTGTTATGACGCTTTTCTAGACTTGTGCTTGGGAGATACTAAGTTAGGATCTAGGTGAGTTTACCAGCTATTATACTATTTTCATGATTTTCTGAAGTCTTTATAATGATTCCCAGATTGTAACATTGAAACAGGCCACAAAGGCCTCCTTACAAATCACCTTACCTTCTCACACTTCATTCACTGCTAAATAATTTCTGCAGGTCAATACACATCATTGGATAACCCAAGAATAAGCAATCCAACCATACAAAATTTTGGTCAGAAAATCTTAAGGGAAAAGACTGCTTTGGAGGATAATATTAAAATAGATCTTGGATAAACAAAGTATGAATAACTTAACTTAATCAGTACAAGGATAAGTAATGAAACTTGTGATACCATAAAAGATGGGAATTTTTTGAACATGTGAATAATTCAGCTGTCTGATAGTTGATATAAAATGCAACTATGCTAACTCATGGGCATGATACCAGACCAGCTTTGAATATGCATTTATTCATCCTTAGCATAAAAGATTCTTAACGAATAAAAATTAAAATTAGAAAAGGTTTTTTATTGTGAAATGGCTGTTCACTTCCTGGGTTGTTTATTTAAATTCTGAAGGCAAAATCAGGTACTTCCTATTTCCCAGTAAGACTAGCCAAGTTTCAAATCACATGCCCCCTGAATGGAAAGCAAGTTCTCTGCTGCTGGTCTATATGCTTGATGATATTTCATTCCAGAATCTTCTGTAGTACGTACTAAACAATTTTCTCCTTTTGCATTAGGGTTCCTGGACTTACCCTTTGTCTAGTATTCCAGATGGAAAATGTTTTCTAACATTTACTTTACCTGGAGATGGAAGGAGATCAGAGTATAGGAAATGAGTAAAGTACAATTGTTATAACCTTTCCAAATCAATTTTCTCTGTGGTTTCTTCTATGGAAATTGTAACTGATACTGTACAACATAACACATAATAATGTTCTCCACAGTATGCATCAAGTTTCAATGGAATAATGTAAATTTCAGTTTATGTAGGATTTGAGGTTTTCACAGCGGTGAGTACAAAGATTTCTGTCTTCTGGGTTGTTTTGCTGTGTAGTCTGGTAGATGTCAACCATTGCCCTGATGACGGAAGCAGTATGACCTCTGAAATGTTGGTAAACATCTACCAGACTACACAGCGCAACAACCCAGAAGACAGAAATCTTCATCGCCCCGATGACGGAGGCAGTATGACCTCTGAAACTTTGGTAAACATCGACCAGACTACACAGCGCAACAACCCAGAAGACAGAAATCTCCAAATTTCAGTTTGTTACCACCATTTCATGCTTATTAACTATTCAATATTGCATAACGAGTTTTGAAAACTTCAGGAGGATATGGACTAGATTAATCATTATGAAATGAGATATAAACATAGAAGTTGGTTAATATCTTTTCAAAGGTTTAATAGTACAAGTCCAGTACAGGTTGGCACTTTTTATTCTTTTATATATTTATAATATTTAATTAAAACAAATCATATAGGTTGATCTTGTAATTCTAAATATTTTACACAAATATGATATTTGAACAATGAAAAGATTAGGATTTGTCAAATTCCACTTAGAACAGTCTATTAATCCATTTATTCTCGGTCGGTCCGATTATACACGCCACCAGTTCAACAAACTCCGCTCTTACGCATCCAAAAAAATTAGCTTGTATTTTCAGCATGTTTAACTCAGTCCATAAATTTAAGAGTTCACAGCCCATTTCGGGTAAACCCAGCATATGAGATCAGAATTTTGTAAAATTGTCCATTTTATGATTTACATATATTTTTTATGGACTGAGTGCACACCCCCAAAGTTGGGTAATAACTTTAAAGGTCACTCCAGCACATTTCTTTTATTTGTATCCACCGTGCCATCATCAATATTAATCGAATTTAAGGTGCAATATAAATCACATTAAGTACAATCTGAGTCTTTGTAAATTTTTTGAGAGGTGCGTATTAAGACTGTAGTTATATCTGACAAACTACCTACAATGATGTTATGAGAATCATTGTATGATGACACTGTGAAATCCTGGAGAATGTAACTATGGAGGGAGAAAAGAAGAAAACTTACGATCTAGAAAAATTCTATGATTAAAAAGAAGTAAAAATTTAGTCTTTTTATATGTACAAATATATGTTAGTTATTGGAACTTCTTTCGTGGCCATTTAAATTATAAATTGAAACATTATCAACCACATTCAGGATGAAATTGTCCTTTCCTTCCATACTTCGATGTAAGGGGGTGATATTGTATCTGTCATACATAAAACAAATATGACAAACATTTTTACATCATTCTTTACAGCCCCAGTCGTAATGTAATCTGATAAATATAATTTTATTTGGATCCACAAGACAAACCAAAAATACTGTCTGAATATTGAATTTTGATTGTGGCTGGTTCACACTGCACTTCAAGCAGTGGCAGATGGTCTCAAGGAACAAAGAAACAACGATTTTATATATGGGAATTAAAACAAGTAACTATGTGGCAGCCACGTGTAATTAATTAGCATTGACCATAATTATCAGACCACTGAAATTCTGTGGTGATAGATCATAAATGTAAAAAATAATTTATGAACCATTTTTATCTCTTCAAAGTTACAAACATGGAGGGATCGGATTTTCAGGTTACAATTGGAAAGTATACACAGAAACAGATACGTAAATTGTGTAATTATTAATTTATAGTTCCTACTAGAATCATGATACAAACTGCAGCATTTGATAGAAAGTTGTCTCACAAGTTCTTGTACGCTCGCTAGGATCATTTAAACATGTTTTTCTTGGTTTATTTAATACTTTCTGTTCCTACAATTATACCATCTTAAATGATAAGATGATTAATGAATAGCAAATTTTCAAATGATGTGGAAGGAAGAAGCTGTAATCTGATTTAAGATATAACCTCAGCATACATGTGAAAGGTTAATTTTCATGGAGGGAAACAATATTGAACTTTGTGTGCACAAGCATGTCACACAATAACAAGTCAGACAATTAGAATCATCAAGAAGACTGAGTTGCTGCACAATTAATATGTTATTTAAAAATAAGGCACAATTGAAGAGGCCTGATTTACACAAAAATTAAAAAAAATGGATGGCATAGATCGATAGTCTCAGATTTTGAGTAAGAGACAACTGGCATCTAAGAACAAACCCGGATTACAGATCCTTACCACTGATAACTTCAATTCGATACGACGAAAAGCATCGTCTTACCTTAATCATGCACTTAGAAATCCAAGTATGCCTCCATCAGATTTAGAAACTATAAGTTGCATCACATGAATATAAAATGCAGAGACACTGTTTAAGATACACTGTGAACTAGCCTTTGTCGATTCAATTTACTGTCAGAAAAAGATGACCAGAACGTCATTCCTCTAACATGGGTTTGTTAAACTCGTAGCAACAGAACATAAATACTTTAACAGACTTCTCAAAATTTACAAGACTTTCTTTCATACTTTTCAGAAACATGATTTCAATCCAAAAGATCAAAACATTACTTCCCCTTTGCATCACTAGCATGAGAACGCATATTCGGTATAACCAAAATACGCAATTATGATCATATGGCACAAACTGGAAGATGAGATGCTCCATCCTTTACGATTGTCGTTCAAGGTGAGAAGTTGTAGCGGTCACACGGGAAACACTCTGCGCACAAACAGATACTCCGAGAATTGCTGGCCTTCAACGCCCCCGCCATTACTGGCAGCCACCCGGAATCCAGCGTTCAGCAGCCTCGTGATGGCCTGTACGCTGTTCAGTTTACAGTAGCCGTTCAAAGGAAACCTGATCACGTGTCCGTCGTCGTGTTGATTCCAGGGGACGCCAGAACGGGGATCCAGAAGGGCCTCGTTCGTCTCTGGGAACACTTTTTCGAGCAGGGCTCTCTCAGCGGACAGCATAATGCGCTCCCCCAGGTCGGGGCTGATATGCAGTGCCGCGCACTCGTAACCCTCGCGCTGCTGGTGGTATGACTGCTGCTGGTGCTGCTGATGATTCTCGGAGTCGCCGGTGCCCCGTCCCGCTGCCGCGATCTTCGTGTTGATCGATGACCCGGAGTTTTTAAGGCGTTCTTTCTTCATCTGTTCCAGTTGCCGGCACATGGCTGCAACAATTTAAGGATGAAACAGTTTCATGGTAACTGGCCAGCGCTCTGCACAGATCTCTCTCCGCATACACAGTCGCTTCTGTAACAAGAACTTGAAGAACAAAAATTATCTTTATCACACGTCTAGAACCACCTTGAAACCCATCAAAGGATGCCGGGGTCACTGTCCCTGACGGCAAAATAGCCCAGTTGCTTTATTGACGCGATGTGCGTAAACTCTTATTACACTACACTTCAAGTGTTTGTGCAAGCAAAAGCATACCAGCGGACTGGGACATTAACCTTGGCACACGGCCGGCCCGAGAGTTGAAAAAATTCAAAAATTCACTACTTTTTTTTTTGGGGGGGGGGCAGATGTGTCCGAAACGTGGTGTATTTTAGAGTTCTTAATTTTGTGTTTTTAACTGTTTACATTGGTGTCATTTTAAATAACAATAAATAATGCCAAGAAACATCACAATTTTGGTAATACACCACCGTACAAAATATTTAGAACGATATTGTAGAGGTAAAGATTCTAAATCTCATTCGAAAGGTACCTAGCTTGAATCCAGCCCGGTGGCCACCTAGTAGTGCTTTCCTCGCCAATACGAGGTATACAATGTCATGAATTGACAATGTCATTAAATAGGCCATGATCCATACATCAAGAGACAGAATTTAAATTATATTCATGTTAGAAACATCCATTTAAATGGTGGTTGCCACATCACAGAGTAATATGAAACGTAGTAGTTTCCACACCCATCACCTAGAATTTAATTTTCGTTATTATTCACATTCTTGACTAACTCTTCAAAAACATACATGAAAAAACAACAACGATTAAACGTTATAAGTGTTTTCTTTTGTAATGTGTACAACGTAATGGTCTCGGTGTTTATTTATTGAGATATTCAGATACCATACTGCACAGAACCGTAAATAGTTTGCTCAGTAAAAAAACACAGGGGTATCCAGTTAAGTTTGTAATGCTCTGTAAGTCTCGGTTTTACTCACGGGCAATGTCGAAGTAGCGCGCCTCTTCCAGCAGAAGGTCCAGGTCCGAGAAATTTTCGGGTATGAGAAGCCTGGAGTTGCGCATGAAATTCAGGATGTGGCGAAACATACCCCCGTCCCTGTCGATGAAGTAATGCTGCTTCAGGGAGTCTAACACAATGGGGATGCTCCCGTTGAACAGCTTCGCCAGTCGAGACTCCGGGTACCTGCACAGATACGACACACTTACCTTCACAGTCCTACTCTACCCTACGACGTCATATTCTGTCATACCACCACTGACTACCGTCATACCCTACAAAATACTCCATCCGAAACAACACTATTCTACATTCTACCCTACAATAGGTCTGTAATACCTTACCCTAATCGCATTAACTCCCATGGTCCATTAACCTATTATAATCCACAGTATTTAGGCTCACTGTGTCCTATTTTCTCCTCACCCTGACATGCTGTATCCTACTGCAATCATCCACTCTGCTAACATCTCCTATCTGTATCTTACCCCATCCTACCGCTGCCAACTCCATACTACCCGTCGTGATATCCTGTACGACTATTCTACCCGACATACATGCCTCTTGTCAACAACTCGTACAGCCACTGAAACTGGTACATCAGCCACTGAACACAGTCGTCCATCTCATTCAATGTTAAGTTTATACGATGCGTTAGGCCGCTCTGTTGACGTGGGTAAATTAACGCATATTGTGAAGACGTGTCTCTAACTACGCGTTTTATCTCTGAAACAGCTCAAGGAATTTCAGATTGATCCGATATTGGGAAAGGAAAATAACGTTTGACAGCCAATATATATGTCGCTTGTATCAGTGGGTTACATTCAGCATCCTATCCAACGAATACCAGGGGTAGATCGGCCGCAACTTGAAGCTAACCGAAAGCCGCGCGTCGGGGTCTCCTACCTTTAAATTTCATGGCGCGATACTTGGACGGATACAGGGACATTACCGCTACCATAATACCAAGAATGGAAAAGTTTGGTGTGGAAATTGTACAGAAGCTTTGTTTACTATTTTGAACATCTCAATAGTTTCCATCTTCCTGTACTGCTGATGAAAACGTATTGTCTTCTAGTTAGTAGCATTGAAGATGCAGGCTTATCACTGCAGCGTCAGATATTTTTCCTTGCATTACGTTAAAATGTATTGCAGATCTAAGTGAAGTTTACATTTTGTCATGTTCCAAGTGTAACGATGAGATGATTACGAATAATAATGATCAAGTTCCATCTGATTTTCATGCAAAGTATGAGCAAAATACTTATTACACTAACACCTATCAAGATTAAATCAGCAGGTTAGATATTAGTATACAGTAGTTTCAGACAAGAACCATTAGTTCCCCATTCAAATCAATTTATTCGTTTTATGGGGTATTTTAATGTACGGGTAAAACTAATCCAACACACAAAGGACTAGATATTTGGAGAGTAACACTACCATATTGTATAGATGCCCTGGAGAAATGAAACCTCTCTGACTATGCATAGCCACCCTGTGGTTAGCCACGCGATCCTAATGTTGGCTGCAGCACCCTGTTATGACCACCACCTGCCCGTAGTAGGAGTGTAAAGACCACATCACCTCGCTGCGGGGGCAATACACCACACCTGCCATGACCGTGACGGATAATATCGGGCACAATACATGCACATTTTATGCACCCCTGCACACATTCAACTCGCCGGAGACACACAGAATGTGTTAACTGGTAAATGGGGTGGGGGCAAGCGGCTAAGTAAATAACTGCACCACTAGCAAACTAACTAGTACCTGATTTCCTAACCAACCAACCAACCAGTAACTGTGCTCGAAGTGGACAGATTCTGGTGACGTGATACTTGACAGAGAAGCACAGGGCCTCTTTTTTTTAAAAAAAGGTTTCAGTAATCAGTTTGGCATTTCGGCAGGACTCCTTGTACGGGTATCAGTCTGTCGCAAGGCCCCTACCTGCACACAGGACAGCACAGAAAGACGCGGACAAACATCAATGCCTTGAATGGGATTCGAACCCGCGGTCCCAGTGTCCAAGCTCACAAGGTCTACGCTTCAGAACGCGCGGCCACTGTGAATATATGAATATATTTTCACTCGTGTTTCAATAAGTAGAAGAAAGGAGGTATATTGCACCAGGGACACATTACATCTCCATTTGCAGTTAAATAAATCGTTTTTAATAAATACATTCAGGAAAAACGTGGATGTTTAGTTTCAGCATATTCCACTCAACATAACACTAAATATTCTTTTCTGAAAGCTACATGGTAAGTGTTGTAACATGTCTCACTACCAGCACAGCAGCAGCAGTTAGGATTATGCTTTTATAATGTTATAACATTAATCCTATCGACAAAGCAAGAATGGTTCGTCTATATTTCAATGAAATTACTATGTTTAGGAAGCTGGATCTTCTCTCATCTTCAGGTAAAAAGGGAAAGGACATAAAACCTATCTGTTGGACCTCCAAAATGTAACTATTGACATGCAGACAATGGACAAGTCAAAAATATCATTTTTACAGATTAATCCTATTCTAATGTACTACTAATGAGAAATAAAATTCTAAAATTTGTTTCAACGTGCCCAGGCCTCCCCATATCGAATAATTCGAAACATGACTCAGGGAAAAGCTGTAGCTATTTATACGATTAACATTCTGTTCGCTGCATTTTCTTCACAAAACAAACCACTTTCGTTAATAATAACCATCAAACACTAAAGAGGGCAACGAAACAAGCAGTCCCTGGACAAGGCAAACATGAAGACATACAAAAGAAACCACACGCTTCGCTAGAAATAAAGTCATGACGGTATTATGAAATTATAAACGGCACTGCCCCTTGTCAGTCGTCTGTCTATGTATCCTACATCCTTCAACTCACTATGGGTCGCAAAAGTATCGCCCTCCGTCGTTTTTAGTGTTTTTAATCATAACTTTCAGTCAGTAAATCTCAGAGCTAATTATCTCTTCGAAATTGCGAATATCTAGATATCTGTCTATCTGTCTCCCACGGTTCTTATCCGTGTACCTATCTGCCCATTCGTCTCTGAGGTAACAAGCTTAGTATGGCGATACTGGCAAAGGCATCAAGTGAAAATTTTTAACAGTAGGTGGACATGCAGATGACAGTGTAAGACTCAGAAAACAAGTTACGATGGCACGACAAACAGGCCCAGAAGAGTGGAACCTCTTCACTGCTTAAAAAGATGCAGTGCCACCGAGTCAGATCGTTTTTGCTTGCAGGTCATGGGAGATACATGTCACAGAAGGGTTGTCATTACTGTCTTTTTTCCAGAACTGTATGTGAAGACATGGAGGAGCGAAGGCGAAACATGATCGTGCATTCTGCCCAATACAAGGACAAATACTATTCAATTTCCAATTATGAGCATATGTGATCTTTTCATGTATTCATCTGTTTAATGTGAGAGGCACCCCACCTGTCAGCTGCGCTAAATACACGCGCGCGCACACACATTACCTTTTATTAATCCAGCTCCGACCAATATGTCCTGATTATCCAGTTACATAACTCTGGGATGATGGTTACAAATGGCTTTAATGGTGGACCGAGACACTCTAACGTAAATTGGAGAAACTGGAGGAAACCGAAACAACATCAGGACAATTGGTAGAAAGCAAGATTCGAGCCTGGTAAACCATAAATAAACAGCAGTGGCTCAATTACGAAAAATGAAGGGAACAGAACGACATAATTATGTTGATGCTAATTTGTTGGGAGATAAATTATAGGAGATATTCTGGCTGGTGCCGATACGTGATCGTTTACTCTGAAGGAATAACAAATCACAGGCGTCTGAAACTCGGGATAATATTTATCCTTCGAAAATACTAAGTAAGCAATTTAGGATCTTAGCCTAACAAGAAACTCTAGGTTATAGAAGTCGCTAGTAGAATGTTGGATGTTCGATAGCGAACTTTGTAAGTTACGATGGTCTATGCATTTAACCATAACTTGTGTTAAGAAACGTCTTGGAATACCGACCACTTAGAAAGCCTAGAAGACGGAACATGACAATTACAAAACCCTAGAGAAATAGGTTGCAAGACTGAGGAGTGGATGCAAATCGTTAATAAACAGAATTTAATGCGTTGGAATTTAATATTTTCTTTAAGACTAATGTAAATATATATCTCCCTCGACCGCAACAAAAAGTAATTACTATAACAGTGGTTTGTTTTTTGATCTGTTACGACACCAACATTTGAGGGCACTTATATTAAGTGCCACTCCTGCACCAGATGATCGCATAACCACAGTTGTCGGCATTATTTATAGTACACAATTACAAGAACCAAGTTTAATAAACACTGGCAACTGAACCAAAAGCTATTACGGACAAAACACACAGACACTTTGATGACGTAGATTCAACTTTCCCCATAAAGCGAAATAGGACAAGCTGCAATACAGGAAAAAGCTTTAATCAGTGGCTAAAACTATTTGAAATATCCGTAACGTTTGAACCTCTGACACTGACACGGGACAAGTACATAGACTCCACCATTTAATTCTCAGCTCCTCCCCATTTATAATAAAAGAGCCCTGATCTCGTGTAATTTGGTTTCCTGCTTGTTGTACGTACATCATATTGTTTCTGTAGCTTGTTCCTTACTTGTAGGCAGACACAATACAGCTTCCACACAACGTTACATCACTCGGCCCGACTGAGCCTCAACTTTAACAGCATTTTAGGTGACTCGATAAAAAGATAGAAAGGCACTTCGCCATGTTTTTCATCGCACGTGACACCGCCAAAACTATAATACTAGTCCGATTTGTACAACTTCGACCTTCAAGGATGAACTATCTTCACGGCGAATATTCACCCTACAAATAGCAACTGTAGTGTGTGCCGAAAAGTTCGATAATTCTCAGCACTCGGAACGGCTTATCCCCGAAAGCCGAAGTTGTACACTGAAATTTATCAGCGAAAATCTTTGTACACGTAGTCCATTTTGGATTGAATTCGTTATGGCAGACCTGTATTAATTAGTGTCCCAGGCAATTCTTTTTCTTTCTTATCATTCTTGTTCATTATAAAGACTGCGAACTTGAAAAGCCTTTAAGAAATTTTACGCATATCTGAGTTTGTTGAGAGATTTGACAGAACTTTGCACATGGCACACGATAAGTACTGGAATGTGTAAATTTCATTTACCCTAACACTTTTCAAGGCCTATATTACGAGCCTAAATGCTAAGTATTCACTTGAGGGAAAACTCTCGCGAGCAAATGTTTTGTGTATTTATGAAACACATGTCCCATGCAATATCTGAATACAACTAGAGAATCATAAATATATTACATTAACAACATCAAGTGTGTGACATGGAAAATGTTACAGAAGTTCCTGCGATCACCCCAAAACCTGGTTGATGTCCAATGTATTTGCAACGCATTGCAAATACATTGGACACAAATCAAGTCACGCGGAAATAAACCCGTCTTCTAAGACCAACAGCAATGGTGCATTTGCTCGTTCTTACTATGCAGGCTTTATATGAAGCGTCAAAATATGGCTTCCAACAACAGTACATAAATAGCTGTCATCAAACTGAAAAGTTTGTAATTTTTCTGCTTGGCTGCCATCCCAGTGTCTTCATTCTTGAAAAAGTCAAACAAGATGCATTAATTTTCGAAGTCCTGTCACCATACAAAAGGATCTGACACTGAAAGCCTGCAGTGTTGTCGCAGTTGGAATGTTAATGTATTTGGTGGTAGTGAATTAACAATAATGAAAGGATATACGCTCATGAGCATAGAGACACACACACATCTTTCTGGCATAGCAAACTGCATGCAATCCAGAAACAAGGAAATAACGAACCAGCCAAATAACGGAAGCCTTACACAAATAAACCTCTCAAAATCCCTCCTCTTTTCAAAATGTTATGCA